GAGGGAGGGAGGGAGGGAGGAAGGAAGGAAGGAAGGAAGGAAGGAAGGAAGGAAGGAAGGAAGGAAGGAATTCTTACTACAAAGAAATAAACATAAAATAGCAATTTCTCCCAAGGTTAAAAGATGCAAATTAAACAGTCTACACGGAGACCAGTATAATGCATTCTAACTCTTGAAAGGAAGTGACTGATCAATTTTCATTTATTGAGTGATCACTAAAGAGACATTGTGGGGTTGGGAAGATGGCGCAGTGGGAAATCCAAGCTTCCTATGCAAGCCAAGCAACCCGAATTTGATCCCCAGAACCCACATAAAGGTTGAAGGAGAAAACCAGCTCCATAAAGCTGTCCTCTGAGTTCTTCTACACTGTGGCAGGGATGCCCCCCTCAACATACACAATAATGATGACGATGATGATGATGATGATGATGATGATAGTAATAGTAACAATTTAAAAAGGAATACCCTGTGATGCTGCAAAATCATCAGGTGCACTGGAATCTGTTGCCCACTGAATTATTCTCATTACAACCAGTTACAGCACACTATACGCAGCACTTAATTCCCACGCATGCACTGCATGTCACACACAGAGACACTTACCCATACTTATCTCTTGCTCTCCACCAGTGCACGTCATTCTTTTCCAATATGATGTACTCTTGGCCTCTCTCTAACCTGAGGTCATGTGCTTCTGTTGCCTGGAAATCGTACATTGCCACAACTATCTCTTCACTGTTATCGTCTTCTTCTGGGGGAACTGGTGGAGGAGGCCTTCTCTAAGCAGAAAAGAAACATCTGCAAGTTCAGCATCTGTGTGAAACTGATTGTGAAGCAAAGCAGTAAAACACTAAGACTCAGGCATCACCACAGGGTAAAACAGAAACCTCAAGCCTAAGGTGAGCCACCTACGGTGACCTGGTGAACCCTCCAATGTTCGACAGTGTTAGTGCTACTGCACTTCGTGTGGAATTTAAAATATAGGAGAGAAGAAAAATCCGCCTTACACATTGCAAGCTTTTTTTGTTTTTCTGTGTCAGAGATAGTTTTCCAGAGAGAGGCAAGAGTGCCCTGTCAGTAGACACCAGAAGGAATGATCCTTTATACCTCCTTTGTATAAAACTCATGCTTAGGATCTGGCACACACTTTCTTATTTATCTTGACAATGCTGCCATGAAGTAGATTATTGTCTAAGTCCATGTTACAACAGAGGCAACAATGGTTTAAAGAGCCCACCCAAAGTCACTCACATCAGTTCATATTACCTAAGATCCTGACTGGGGCATGTTTTTCCGCCAGAGCCCACTCCTCAAAGGCCTATCATTAAGTCACTAAAACCATTACTTTATCATAATGTGGCCTTTTTTTTTTGGTCTTTTTGAGACAGGGTCTCCCTGTAGCCCCAGCTGTCCTGGAACTCACTATGTAGACCAGACTGGCCTTAAACTCACAGAGATCTGCCTGCCTCTGCCTCTGCCTCTGCCTCCCAAGTGCTGGGATTAAAGGCATGTGCTACCACACCCAGCTTAATGTGGCCTTTTTAAAAAAAAATTATTATTTTTATCTTATGTGAATGAATGTATTGTTTGCCTGTATGTAAGTGCACCCATATCATGCAATGCCCATGGAGGTCAGAAGAGGGTACCTGTTCCCATGGAACTGGAGTTATGGACAGTTGTTAGCCACCACGTGGGTGCTAGAAATCGAACCTGGGTCCTGTGCAAGAGCATATGATGATAATGATCACTTAACTGCTAAGCCATCTCTCCAGCCCCATAATATGGTCTAAAGCCCCATAATATGGTCTAAAGATATTCCTTTAAAATATCACACCTCTCAAATGACTACTTAAGCCAGTCTACAGGCAAATGCTAGGGCTGACAGAACCCCACATGAAAACATGAAATCTATGCAACTAAACTGATAATACTTGACATTGGAAATACTCAAATGAGCTACAGAGCATCTGCTTCTAGGGTGGTCCTGGGAAAAAGCAGCATCACATGAATGAACATGAACATATTCAATACCCTGCAAACCTTTCTGAACCACACAGGAGACTCACACACCTAACTCCCAAAGCAAGAGACCACTTACCTTCTTTTTTTCTGGCGCTGGGGGGAGTACTTTTCTTACACCTGAAAACACCAATAAAAGCAGGTCACAATGTTACCTGCCAAGACTTTGATAAAGATAAGATACTGATGGGGGAATAGGGAAAGAGCACACAGGCCAACTTCCTGGCTTGCATGGGATCTCCATATTCCCACCAGTGCATCACCCAGGCTCTCAATTGCACTGTACAATTAAAAACTAAACTGGGCAGGGGCCCAGTGAAGTGAGCACTTAGCCCAAGGCCCTGGGTTTGATCACCAGCACCACAAAAAAGTAAATGAATAAACACATAAATTGGACTACAGGAGTCTGTCCTTATCTGTGGCTTCAGTTTCTATATTCTCAGTTATTCCAAATTAACCACAAATGAAAATATCAAATGGAACAACTCACAAGTTTTCATTTGTCTCTCTTCTAAGAATTATGATAAAATCTTTCTAGGTCCAGCTCAGACCTTCCCAGGATGTGACTATCTCTTTGTCCAGCACGTCTACACTGCATTCACTAACTGCCCCAGGAAAGTTGCTGAGAGGGTCTGATTAGGCTCGTGCTTTTCATTTTAGTTTGGTTCTCTGAAACAGTCTTGCTTTGTAGCCTACAGGGGACTGGAACTCACTGGGTAGCTGGCCTTAAACTCTCCAACCTCCTGCTCTTGTATTCAGAGTGCTGGGGTTACAAGCATGCATCATCACACATGGCCCACATTTTTTTTTTATTTTTGAGACAGGATCTCCTGTAGCCCCAGCTGGCCTGGAACTTGCTATGTAGACCAGATTGGCCTCAAACTTAACAGAGATTCACCTGCCTCTGCTTTCTGAGTGCTGGGATTAAAGGTGTGGCCCACAGTTTTAAAAGATTCATTCTAAACTGATTCCAATGTTACAATCAAAGTTTCTCAAGGATACTTTAACTCCATAGAATCCCACTGCTAAGTAAATACCATCATTCTCATGAGCCATACCAACCTTGCACTTTTCTAGATAGTGTACTATAGTTCAACAAAATCAAAATCACATCATTTTCTCACAGTACCGATAACATGTTTACACTGAGTACAGTATAGTTAGAGAATGAGTACTTACTACTCTCAAAAAGATTGTATTTTTCACATCCAGGTGCTAGTTTTTCCGTTTGTCTACAGCACTGGTAACTTCCGTCTGCCCAAAATTTAGGATGATATTTAATCATAATATTATTGTTGTTCTTTATTTCTGTAATTCATAGACACATTAATGGTTAGTGAACTAAAACAGACTAAAGAACTTTGGTAAGTGTCCTAGTCACTTTCTATTGCTGTGATAAAAATCACTGACCAAAACCAACTTGAAAGAAAAGGGTTCATTTTATCTTACATCTCCTAGGTTCCTCACTGAGGGAAGTCAGAGAAGGAATTTGGGGCTGAAACGTGGAGGCAGGAGCTGAAGCACAGACCGCAGAGGAAAGTCTCACTGATTTGTTCTAACCTGTGCTTAGCCTGCTTTCTTATACAACCCAGGACCACCTGCCCATGGGTGGCACTGCCCACAATGGGCTGGGCCCTCCGATATCACTCAACAATCAAGAAAATGCCTCACAGACATGTCCACAGGTCAGTCTGTTAGAGGAAATTCCCCAATTGAAGTTCCCTCTTCCCAGGTGTGTCAAGTTGACAACTGAAGCTGTTCAGCACAGTAACTGTCACTTATTATTTCTTCCTTGATTATATATTTATTACAACAATTCCATCATAATAGTATAAAATTCAGCATTCAGAAAAACTCAATGGTTCTTCAACTCCTCACTGGGTTTTTTGTTTGGTTTGGTTTGGTCTGTTAAACACTCTTGTGAGCATAAGTGACCACTGCAACTCCATGACAGATCAATGTAAAAGTCAGCCCCCTACCCTTGTGTTCCTTAGCAGAAGCAAGGGGACTGTGGAGAACAAACTGCCCATTTAACATGTCATGAGCATATCAATCTGTCTACACCAAGGACTGATGACACAAGCAGTTTCTTAGAAAATACCAAATCTTGCTGTAAAAGCCTGTGCTTTCCTCACCTTCAACTACATTGTGCATTAAATGGGAATATGCTTTCTTAGAAAATACATGCAACTATAAAGAATCAGATTTTTAAGGGGGAAGTTGTCTTCCATATTTTGATTTCACTTAACTCAACTATTCTTGGAAAAACACTCTTTGTAGATTAAGTGATTATAAATGCAAGAGATATATTATCAATATGTCTGTTTTAGTGATAACGATGTTATTAGACAGAGTACATGAGGTTTTACCTTCTTTTAACTTCTTCACCCACCGGTCCCTGCTTTGTGGACTAGGTGCAAAAATGTAAAGTGTATTAGCATCATGAACAACCTAAAATAAAACAAAAGATGAAACCAATGACAATACTTAGACATAGTACTTAGGTCCAGCAGAGCCCTTGATACTACAAGCATCAATAAATGATTCTCAAATGAATAAAATCAAATCCATTACTTCAGACCCAAAGAACCTAGGTTCCTTAGTTACAAAAAGTTACATCAAGTAGGATACATATTCTGGAAAGGAATTGGGAGTGTTGTGTATGGGCATGAGTGTCCATGTGGGTGTAAGTACACATGGCGGGGGGGTCATGCATGATGTGTGCATGTATGCATGGAGACCAAAGGACAACCCTGGGTACTAATTTCTTAGGGACCATCCACCTCATTCATTGAGACAGGGTCTCTCACTGGCCAGGAACTCATCAAGTAGGCTAGGCTGACTGGCCAGCAAACCCCAGGAATTTGTCTGTATTCGCCTCCCCAATATTGGGATTACAAGCAAAAACCACCACACCAGGATTTTTTTTTTAAATAAGGGTACTTGGGATCAAATTTAGGTCCTCAAGTACTTTGAGCTATCTTCCAAGCCCCAGGATTATATTTTTATAAAAGGAAAAAGATGTTTCACTGATCTTGGCATGCTTTCAATTTAATTAACTAAATAAAGTTCCTTAGATGATCTTGGGGCCTAAGGGCTTATTCTAATCAAGTACTTTTCTAAATAATACTTTAGATGAATGGCTTACTCTCTAAAGTATGTCTCCCATCATTTCTTTTTGCACATCAATAAACGGAGTAGCTAGCTTTCATCAGCACTGACTCCTACAGCTTTAGGCTATGTGCTTTGTAGTCAGTTACTCAATCAATCCTAACATTTCCACTTTACAGACGAGGAAAGGAAGGTCTAGCTGAAGTCCTCCATTCCTGTATAACTTCAGGGGGTATCATATCAATAGTGGGCACTGCAAATGATGTCCCTTAACACTGCCCCACCTAACTGTCCATCACCACCTAGCAATACAGAAACCCAGGGTTTGGATTTGTACTCCTGAGTACAGGCTTTTAAACACTTTTAGAGATGAGCAATTTTTATGTTAGTAATAAAATAAGCCTGCAAAAATTAACCTGGGAATTTTGCCATTGTTCTGGGACTTTATCTCTAATGGTCAGTCATGAGGCAGAAATACCTTAACTGAGCAAAAAGTAATGCATTCTGTATGAACCTCCCTTCACCACCACAATACCCATTAGACTTAAAAACAAACTTCCATCTCATTGGTCAACAACTGTTCCTGCCCCTGTTGAATATATCATTCCTTCCTATTCATTTCAATCAAATGCCTAAACTCCAAAAACCATGAGAACATCATTGAACAAATAATGATACAGACCATTCAGCACTTTGTTGGAACTACAAAAAACACAAACATGAATCAAACATGAAGTGTATTTCTAAGATATATATAGAAATGCCTTATTACAAGACAGAATGTGAGAAATGATGTCAGAGATAAGGCACTAAAGGGGATGTGGAGAGACATGTTTTCGTATTTGCTACATGATTCATTTTCACACCTTACCCATATTTGATCATGTAGCTAACTCTGTATGAAAGAATGAAGCCTCAAGGCACCATGAAAACCATCCTGAATTGACACAAACATGTCTGGAAAGAAAAGCTAGAGCCTTGGGCCTTCTAAAACCTGCAGTATATTATGATAATTTGTCCAGTGCAATAATTTATTGACTTACTATATTAGTCCAAGCACTTTACATATGCTGCCTTGCTTAATCTATATAGCAACCAGGATCTCTATTAGTGAACTAAATCTAGCTTAATCTAGTACATAGCTAACATGGGACATTTTTATATTAGTACCAGAAATTTCTAGAAATACTGCCTCCAACTAATAAACATATAATTTTGGCATCCTGGGTAGTTTAGATTGTCTAGGGAGATTCCAGAAGACTAGTCTCCTTTTCGGCAAAACCCAGTTTACACCATGTGCCATTTTCCATGGATTCATGTGAGCAGTTCCTGAGACTGGGTGAACATGGAAGCCAGGGTTCTATTGGGAGTCCTGTCTTCTGGTGAGCTGCTCTTCAGCAGTGGAGGTCTACATGGAGGAGAGTTTTGCAAACTTCCCTTGAAAGGCACAAAAGCCATTTCAACAAGGAAGAAATACACTCAGTAACACAACTCAGTAGTTGCTCAGCCCTCCCTATTTAGGTCTACATGCATGCATTCATGTACTTAAGGAGATGTTTTTTCTTCTCTTTGCAGTGTTGGGGATCAAACCTAGGACCTCACATAGGCCAGGCAAGGGATCTACCCCTTAGCTACATCCCTAGCCCTCTCAACAGACTCTTAGAGATACTGTAGGTATAGGGAAATAGCTACAGTGTTAGATAAACAGATCAGGGTTTAAATTCCAGGAAGGCCACGCCACCTCAAGGGAACCCCAGCTGCCAACAGAAATGACTTCTGTAAGCAAACATGAAGGGGTAAGCTTCTGGAAGCTGGGTCTTCCCGCTCTCTCCACCCTTCCTCAGGAGAGGAAGAAACCTCCCTTTTCCCTTTGAAAAAATGTCTGATTCTTTTTTCCTAGCTTGTTCTGAACTTGGTGCAAATTTTTGCTTTTTTAAAAAAGTATAGTTTATTTATTATTTATATTTTATGTGTATGAGTATATTGCCTGCATGTGTGTAAGTGCACCCATGTCATGCAATGCCCATGGAGGTCAGAAGAGGGCATCGGATCCCCTGGAACTAGAGTTACAGACAGTTGTTAACTGCAATGTGGGTGCTAGGAATCAAACCCAGGTCCTCTGTAAGAGCAGCCAGTGCTCTTAACTGCTGAGCCATCTCTCCAGCCCCACAAAATTTTACTTTTAAGATATGAAACTAAGGACTGGAGAGATGGTTCAAAGGTTAAAAGAGCATACTGTTCTTTCAATTCCTAGCAACCACATAAAGCAACTCACAGCCACCTTGTAACTCCAGCTCCCGGGGGAATCCAACACCTCTGGTTTCCATAAACACCTGCACTCACATGCACATACCCACACATGTACACATATAATTAAAAATAAAAATAAATCAAAAAATAAAGAAAAAAAGATGTGAAACTAGGATCTCCACCTCTTTGGCTATAAAAAGGCTGTTGTTTTGGCTTTTCAAATCTTGCCAAGGTTTAAAGTACACAGTGAAAGCTCTTTTTGATTAAATTTTAAGGTGTTTTGAACTGCCCTTAAATTAATTCATCTCAATAATTTAAAATGGTTCAAGGATGGAATGTTTTCTGTTCTATTTTTAATCTTCATTCTTAAAACCAACTCAAAACTTACAAAATGAATCTTTCCCTTCAAAATAGTCTAATTAGAAAAAAATCCTAATTCTGGGTCCAGAATCATGAGAACCACAGCTTTCTGCAACTGCCTACCACCCCATTAAATAAAAGATCCATCGGAAGCACAACAGGAGTGGGGTCTTTACTAAGCATCAAATAAAATAGCACTCATAGTCACACAGGGACACACACTCTAAAATCCATTCACACACTCAACCAAGCAGGTTCAAACTGGGCTCACTTCTAGTGCTGGGTGGAAGGCCCAGCACTGTCAGCAGCAGTATCAAGAGAGGCAGCTATAACAGCAACTACCAGCCACCTTGCTCTTCACTCATCACTCAGTTATTATATATGACCTCAGTGAACCTTCACACCAACCTGATCAAGTGAATACTATTCTTCTTTTCATTTTTCAGAACAGAAAAAAGACAGAAAGGTAAGTAACTTACAGAAGGCCACAGGGCAATAAGAGGAAAGTTGAGCCACTTGTCCTCAGAGTTATCTCACTGAGAGAATATCAGATATGAAAAGAAGAATGCAGAAAAGGAAATTGAAAATATAGTCCTTCCTTCTTTCCTGTTGATGTCCACATAATGGCAAATAACCTAGATGTGCCAAATTAATGAATGTACATTTCAAATATAAATGGTAATTTCACAGAAACTGTTAAAAAAAACCACCAAAACGCCATGTCAGTACTGCCCTGAAGGAGAATTTTGCAGCTTGCCTTTCCTCCTGGTAAGACCATAGCCTAGGTAAAAGAGGACTTTCACTTGAGAGGTTCATTGCTTAATGGAAAGCAGGGAAGTGTCTTCAATCAGAGAAGGGGGTGGCTAGGTACTAGAGGGCATCCTGTACTACCTGAGGTCAGCCCTAGAATGTCAGGGCTCAACTCCACACTCCTAGGTCCTTAGGGCAGGTGAGCAACAAGATCCTGGTTATAAACGCAGAGTAGTTCATGGATGGTCATATCCACCCTCCTTAGGAGGAAGAAGAGGTGAGTGATGCTAGATCACAGGTCTGCTGGCTGCATCTCCCCCTGAAATCAGGACGCTGACTTTGCTCTCCTGCTCCCTAAGACAAAAACTAATAAAACGTGTTGCGCAGTTTTCTCCTTCCTCCTTACAGTTGTGAGCAAGTTCAGAGCCTTGATCCCTAGACCAAGGACAACCCTGAATTACAGCTTAGTCTTTATCATGCTTTTCTCATTCTTGGCACACAGGCCTAGGCCAGGCTAGGCTAGATCATGTGGTATGGAGCTTGCCCACCCCCCGAAAACCTATAAGAATCAGAACCCCCTTTGTTCTTTAGACCTGAGGGGACTTTCTCGCTCTTCAGGTCCCCACTGTACTGATAATCCTGCAATGCACTAACTCTCTTAATAGTCAATATTCTCTTCTCTCTCTCTCTCTCTCTCTCTCTCTCTCTCTCTCTCTCTCTCTCTCTCCCCCCATCCCCCCCATCATGATGCCTGTGGCATGCTGCTATATCTCTCCTAATTGTTCTCCTATGTGAAAGACCTCATCATGGCTGGCTATACCCATGGGCCTGTAACTCTCCTAATAAAGCTCACCTCATGAGTAATTCTGTGTCAGTTCCTTTCAATGAACTTGCTTTCTTTTCTTCTTTCTAATACATGCATGTGCTTGGCTGATTTTTCCTTCACAAAATGGCCCTGAAGAAGTCATTTATCATCAGAGAGCCCTACCTTCCTTAGTCATAAGCAAGAACAGTACATTTACTCTCTCTGTGTAATAGGATCTTTGTATAGTTTCATCAACATACATGGTAATTAATATTACCTTTTCCTCCAAAGCAGCCTCTTCATTTCATTTCTGTTTGAAAGCAAATCACTTTTGCTACTTGCCAACTCACCTGGAACGGGTATTTATTTTGGCAGGGGATGACACCGTCATCATTCTTCACTATTTCCACACACTTGATTTTTGAAATATCAATAAACCCCTTTCTGTATTTTTTCTGTAAAAAGAAAAAAAAAGAGAAGATGCATTATAATCCTGAGACATGAGAAAAACATTTTAATGACTACATATGGCTTATGAAAGTACTGATTCAAATTACGATCATTTCAGGATCGGAGAGAAAGCTCAAAGATAGCTCCGTAGGTAGAGCACTTGTCTTGCAAACCTGAGTTTAATCCCCAGAAGTTTGATAGAGTTTAATCCCCTATTTTACCTAAGTAAAACTAGGTCAGCATGGTGGCATATGCTTATAATTGCAGAGCTAGGGAGGCAGAGATAGGCAGATCCCCAGGGCTCAGTAGAGGGGTGCCTAGCACAAATGACAGGTTCCAGGCCAATGACAGATGCTTTCTCAAAACAAACCAACAAACAAAATAAAAAATAAAATAAAATAAATAAAAGGGTGGACCCCCCCCCCGAGGAACAATACATAAGGCTGTCTTCAGGGCTACATACACACACACACACACACACACACACACACACACACGTGTACACTTGTACACACACACACACACATATACTCACAAAATTACAATTTCCTTAATAATTACATAAATTGTTTCCTTTCACTGTAAAAAATTGTTCAAAATATTAATACTAATGACTATAATGAAAATCATTAAATAATTTCACTTCTAAAGATGAACTTGTTCTGTCCTTGCCTAAAGAAAAAAAATCAAAAACAAAACGGTCTGAAACAGAACAGGCTCCCTTTTGCTGCTGCCTTCTCTCCCAGACATGCCCTTGTCCAACATCTTGACAAGAGGGCTCATTTAAGCAAAGACCAAACCCGCGGAATTCTATTTACTGAGTCACAGGTGCACACTCCAGCCAACCGTGCATCCTCCCGTGTGGAGGCACGTCGCCTGGCAGCAGCAGGGTTCAGAGCAAGCGATGGGAGGCGGGCTGTCTGTAACCACACACAGCTCCACTTGGGACTATAGTGTTGGCTGCTGGACTTCTCTTTCCCTACATCCTCTCTTCCTCTCTGATCACTGCAGATCTGCCTGCAGCAATGACATAATGGCCTATCAGGACCCACCCACACATTAACCTCTCACCTCGAAATTCATTCTGGAGAAAATCCAGAAGAATACAAGTAGTGCAAGGAAACCAGTCACACACATACATGAAAAAGGACCACAAATACAGTGTGGAACAAACATTTGTTAAGTAATATAACTGGTGCACTTCACACAAAAAGTCTTCCCAAAACTACTATTACATGTTTTTAGTATGTATTCACATGACAAAAGAGGAATGAAGAACAGAGTTGTATACCCCTAGCATCAATCATTGAAAATAACTTCATTTAAACTGGGTGGCATAGGCCTGTAATCCCAGTTACTCTGAAGACTGAGGAAGGAGGATCAAAAGTTCAAACCCTGCCAGGGTATACAATGAGTTGAAGGCTAACCTGGGCAACTTAATAAAACCCAGTCTCAAAAGAAGAAAAAGAAAAGAAATGGGTGTGGGGTAGAGAGAGCCCATACAGCTGGGGTAGAAAGCCTGCCTCTCAAGTGCAAGGCCCAAGTTTAATTACTTCACCCAAAGCTCTGCAATCTTTCCTCAGGCCACAGTCTTTGGGTTCTCCATGCAACCTGCTCTACATCTTCAATGACATCAGACTTTCACACCTGCCCCTACTCAGGCCATCAGCAGCTTCCATCACACAGGTGTCCTCCACAGCACCTTCTCAATCAGATTTCCATGATCCACCCCTTCCATCCTTCTTTCCTCCCTTCCTCCTTCCTTTTTTACCTTCTCTCCCTCTTGTCCTTCTCTGTACCTCCCTGATATTTGTGTCAGTCTTCAGGTCTATCCCTAGCCCTTTGAAAGCTGGCTGTGACTCCCTTGTCCTCTCCACACCTAGCTGGGCCTTTTCTGCTGCTCTCCAGTCCTGTGTATCTACTCCAGAGGCCACCAGCACTGCCAGACCGGCATCCCTTTCCCACTCCCTCCTCCGGAGGCCCATCTCCCAGTCTGCTTTATCCAGAGGACAGCAGCCACTCCAAAGGCAAGTCCTTCCCTGTCCCTCTTGCAGTTCAATGACACTGTAAGGTGTCACCCTCTCTTTTTTTGACCCTGTCTCTAAGTAAAAAGAACACAGCAGTTGAGATCTGCAGCTGACACTTCATTCCATGTTCACAGCATCCTGACATGTAAGCACCGAGTCTCCTTAGTCTATAAGTGACAAATTTGTGGCTCACACAGGCTAAAGGCAGTCCCTGAAGCTTCAATTGCTACCAAAGCCCTCTGGCCCCTGGGATGCCCAGCTGCAGAGGGTGAGGGGGCAGGGACACTTGGAATCCTCCAAGCCTGAGCCAGAGCAGGGGAGGAACAAGCTCTCTGGCTGTTCTCTTCCAAGGATTTACTTCTGTCTGCAGACACCATCCAAACATAACACTTTCCCTTGCCTGGGGAAGATTGGCTTCAGTCTTCTTTTAAGAGAGTGCACAGCTCTTACTTCCCTCCCACCCACTCCATCCTCAAGCACTTGCAATCTGCAACACCCACAGTTGGCTAGAGGCTGGTGGCAACCTCAAAAACTGACAGCAATAGCCAAACTCAATGCACTTGCTGGGCCACCTCTGCTTTCTGAGCAGGAAGGAGCCAACATCTTCTCCCTTGGTGGCTCTATCTTTGGGTCATTCTGCTTTTCCGTCTCTTCTTTCTTCTTGATTTCTCAAACAATACCTGTCTTGTGCCAATAATTTTGTCTAGGAAAAAAAAAAAACAAAAAACACAGGACAGGAAAAGCTCCATTTCCTGCACATGCAGTCTCCCAACTGATTGTCCAGAGAGTTTTCAGCTCTCACAGTTACCCTGCAAGGTAAGACCCATTTTACAGATAAAGAAACTAAGTAGCAAGCCCCAGCTTACCTGTGAGAGAGACTGATACAGAAACCACCATACCATGTACTAAGTGCTGCATATAAAAGAGATAGATGCCAGAGAACACAGTGAACCTATGGCTTCTTCGTCAGAAGTGGGATGACAGAGAGAGAAACCCCCACAATTGAACAAGAAAATCATATTCCTACATGACCCTGCTATCCTCGTCTGTAAAATGGGAATAATAACACTATCACCGCAATAGGGTAGGTATGAGGATTAAGTAAGCTAATGCTGCAGAGCTGCTTAAAAGCATGTCTGGCTCAGAGTACTGAACTTGGAATTATTTTCTAAGTAAAAAGAGCAAAAGCAGACCAGTGTGACTGAAAACCCCCCGGGTGCAGAAGGCAAGTTGGAAAGGTGACCAGGGGCCAGCTTGGAAAGAACGTGCTGCATGGTGTTTAAGTATCTGCTCAGGCTGGGCTACCCATCCTGCTCCTGGGGTGAAATGGCTAGATCGGCATCCTTCTACTAAAAAGTCACCTGTGTTCACTATAGAAACTTTAGAAAAATACTAAAGGCACAAGAATCCAAAGAGCCCTAATCCACCAATCCCAGAGGCAATGGCTTTTGACACCTCAGGAGTTTATCAACACTGCCCTTCACACTGCCGCTGGGGGGGGGGGGGGGGCACTATTCTTGCCTGCCAGCTCACCAGTTCTGCAGCAGCAGGCTAAAGTCTGATTCCAAGACATCCATCTTCATTCACACCTGTCACAGCTACTACAGGCACATGTAAGAGGTTGGTCACTCTATAGAAAAAGTAGGGATGTCTGATACTGGATTAACTTAAATACCCTAAATTCATGCTCTAAGAAAATTTCCTAATGTGCTAATATTTGGATTTTCTGATCCAAATATCTTCCAGTAAAACTGGCAGTGGTGGTGGGGAGACACAGCTCAACACAGCCACCAGTAGCCTGAGGACCTCCACCCAGGTAAAGCCAGATCCTTGACTACACTGTAGAAAAGAATTTCAGGACCAGACAGAGTGGAGCAAAGTTAGCTAGCTTATTAATTAGAGGTGCTAATACACACTTAAGCTTTAAGTATGGAGACAGAGAACAAAAGAGAGAGAGGAGGAAGGGGAGGAGGAAGAGAGGGGGAGAGAGGAGGGGAGGAAGAGAAAGAGGGAAGGAGAGAGAGGGAGGGAGGAAAGCTGGGAGAGAAGGAGGGAGAGAGGGAGGGAGGAAGGGAGAGAGGGAGGGAGAGGGAGGGAGAGAGAGGGAGGAAGAAATTACAATAGCATTGTAGAATCTAACAGTTTATTGGTTGGACAGAAGAACTGAGAGAGAGAGAGAGAGAGAGAGAGAGAGAGAGAGAGAGAGAGAGAGAGAGAGAGAGAGGAGAGCG